TGAGCTTTGGCCCCAGAACCTGGTGTTGCCCTGCCAACCTGTGCAACTGACTCCATAGGTAAGAGCAGGGATTCCGAGCTGGCTGCGCAAGACTCTGAGGGGAGGCGGGCACCCTGGCATCTTGGATTCCCAACGATTCCCTAGCATTAGGCACAAAAAAAACTCAGAAGGGGAAACAAAGTATTTTTTCTAAGAACTTATATATAACATGACTATTTGGTGAGCAAACCAATTATTTCATAATTTTAAGTCCTGTAGCTAAGTGTGGAGTTTTTAAAAAACATTGTCCACTCCCCATTCCATTAATGCCCCATTCCATTAAAAAGCTTTTTTATTTTTCCATTACTCCCCACTTCTGGAAATGCTATACTTCTGCCCAGGATACTGCAATCAGAGGCCTGCATTACTGGAGTAGAAAACTTAAGTGGGAAACCGATACTTGTAAAAAGAGGACTTAAAAAACAACAAGTAGGGGCCATGGGAACCCGTGCCTTCATTTGCAGAAGGGCAGAGGGACGCAGGCACAGGCCGTTGGCGTGAATACCCAGCTCCGGGAGTCCTGCGCTGCTCTCCCTGTGCTGCTCGAGCCAACCAGGTGAGTCACAGCTGGAGACACCGGACCGGCTGGGTGTGAGCAGTTCTGATGACTGATGTGCTCTCGAATACCAGCCAGCAGCACCCGCCCAACCCCCCTCCCCACCTCCAACTCCGTCTGGGCCCATTTCAGCCCTCCTCCTCCGGCCTGGCAGATGTCCCCCAAGGAAGCCAATTAAGGAGGAAGTGCCAACATCATGTCCGGAGGACGTCACCTCCTGTCCCGGTGAACGCCAGGCTCCCCGCCTTTCCAGACAGTGCCGTTACCTGGACCGCGCCCTCGGCCTGGAACTCCCATTCTCCCCTCTCTCCAGATGGATGGGTGTTACGTACCTCTGATCTTCAAATTGGCCTCAAATGCCACCCCCTCCAACCTCAAATCCATTGAAAACCAACTTCTCCCTCAGTGGCACCCATGGAATGTTGCTGCATTCTATCTTGCCTCTTCCAGCGGGGACTGCCACTTTCAGGGGACATTCTGTCTGGGTCCCCACTTTTCTCTGAGGCCCACCCAAGTGTCTCTGATGTCACAGGTACACTGAATAGGGTTGAGTGTCCATATTTGATTTTTATTCCCCTTCTCTTAACCCTAGGTAGCTGACTCCCAAACCAAAATTAATTAATTTATAAAATCATAAATTGGCCCTGGCTGGTGTGGCTCAGTGGACTGAGTGCCGGCCTGCGAACCAAAGCATTGTCGGTTCAATTCCCAGTCAGGGCACAGGCCTGGGTGGCAGGCCAGGTCCCCAGTAGGGGGAGTGTGACAGGCAACCACATACTGATGTTTTTCTCCCTTCCTCCCCTCTCTCTAAAAATAAGTAAATAAAACCTTTAAAAAAAATAGTTTCCCACACTTAACTGAATCAAGGACCTCGGTTCTAAGCTTTAAAAAAAAAAATCATAAACTGCTCTGTGGTCTATACATCTTTTGGGGACTGATGCCCACAGGGCAAGACCTGAAGGTTTGGTTTTATTTAATCTCTCCTAGTCTGAGAGTCTACTGGACATCCAAGCTTGAGGTTCAAAAAGCCCAAATCCAACACACCTGCTCTGGAAGCTGTTCCCAAATTACCTTTAACCCTCAAAGTGCATCTCACCTTCTCCAAGATGATCAAAGATGTGGGGGAAGAAAAATAAACCCAATCAACCAAGCAGGTGAAGAAGCAGACATGAACAGGACGAGGGTTATTGATAGCAACGTAAAATAAGCCAGAGGCAAAGCACCCCCCAAACCAGAGAAGCCTCGGGACATGCACAGCTGGGAGAGAACAAGCCAGAGAGGGGTCTCGGCGCTGTCTCACCTTCCGATTGTCCAATGGGGAGAGCGCTACCCCATTGGAACGGTTAAGGTCGGACACCAGCACCTTCAGAATGTCCTGAATCTACAGGAAGCGAAAAGGGAAAAACAAGGGCGGGGGGGGAAGAGAAAAGTGGCTTAGAGAGAGGCAAGAGAGTCAAGGAAGGAAGAAGAGAGGGGTTCAGGGAAATTAAATGCTAGAGAAGAGAGAAGGGGATCAATACCATGGCCTAGGCCATCTTTCCCAACAGCCACTTGCTGCCTTGCCACAGGCAGAAATCAACGCAAATGAGCAGATGGAGCAGTCCCCTAGGCAGTGCAAACTCTACATACGTTCCTTAGATCCCAAGGTGCCAGGGATGAATCTGGCAGGGCTCCAGACCCCCACCTCCATTTTAAAAACCAGACTTCAGGCCTGGCTGGTGTGGCTCCGTGGATTGAGCGCCGGCCTGAGAACCTAAGAGTTGCTGGTTCGATCCTCAGCCAGGGCACATGCCTGGGTTGCGGGCCACATCCCCAGTAAGGGGTGCATGAGAGGCAACCACGCATTGATGTTTCTCTCCGTCTTTCTCCCTTCCTTCCCCTCTCTCTAAAAATAAATAAAATTTTTAAAAATGAAAAAAAAAATAAAAATAAGTAAAACCAGACTTCAGAGCAAAGGTTTGCTTGAACAAAAGGGATTACAGCTAAAAATAAGTTTGAAAGATACTGATGTGATCCAACAATATCCTTTTACAGATGAGGAAACTGAGGCCCCCTGGGAGGAAATGATTTTCCTGAGGTTGCCCAGAGATGGACTCAAAACTCCCAGTCCAGTGCCTGGGGCTCTCCTCATCACACCCTGGGGCTCTGTGGGTGCTTCCTCAAGGGAGAGCTGAGGGCAAGCGGGGGGCTGCTCTCACAGCCTGCTCCCCCCCCCCCCGGAGGCTGGGGATGAGGCAAAAGCCCCCAGCAGTAAGTGCAATAGCAGCTGCTCTTTATTGGATGTTTACTCCACACCATGCCCTGTACTTAGGAATTAATATAAAAACGTCATTTAAACTTCCTAAATGCAAGACAATATTACTCTGATTTTCCTGATGTGGAAACAGAGACCCAAATGGCTTAAACAATTTGCCCCAAACCGTACCCCTAGCAGAGGGAAAGGCAGAATTGAGAAGTCAAATTCTGAATTCTTAACCAGTACTTGACATTTCTTCCACAATCTTAATCTCTAAGCCTCTACTGCCCCTTGAGCACCCCCATCCCCCAGGCCTGGCTGGTCAAGACTCACATCCTCAGGCGAGTGACAACCATCAGAAGTGGTTGTCTCGGGACTACTGCCATTTTTATTCTTCTTTTTCTTCTTAGCTCCTGCAGGAACACTAATGCCTCGCTGCTGCTGGAATTCTCTCAGCTGCAAAGGGGAAAAGCAGTGAGACTCGGGACAACTACAAACCCCTGTATTCACACCCTACACTATAGTTCACAAAATACTCACATTTGCCATCTTATTAAATGCCACAACAAGCCTACAAGGTATTGTAATTCTGACTTAATGACTGCAGAGATGGACTGATAACAGTTTTTTTTTAAAAAAAGGCAATAATGCAATTTAAACTCAGTATTCTGACTCTGAGTTCTGGAGGTTATGCCATAAATCAGTAGCTGCCAGGGGACAAAACCAGAAGTCGAGGTGGTAAACATTGAAGTGATCAGACATAAGGGTCCTTTTTTACACGTCTGTTAGAGATGCACACCGCTACTACCCAAACTTTTACATCGGTGTGGCCAAATGGCAGTGAAAGCACATCCCTAGTGAATCTGGGATGGTAACAGAAAAAAGACAGCCCAAGTACCATTTCAGAGAGAAATCTATTATAACCTTACAAATCTATGTCAGTGTCACCCTGAAGCACACTAACATAAACGGCATTTTCTCTCCCAAGAGAATCCAGGAAAACTGAGGCTTCAGTCCCGTATTTATCCTCACTCAGAGCCACCCGTGCTGCGGTGATGACTAGAGGCCGACTGCCAGCTGTGAAGTGCAATTTCCCCGGATCTGCTCCACAGAGGGAATGCAGATCTCACTCCAAAGGGCACTGACTGAGGCCAACCTGGTCCCAGAGCCACAGAGAATTAGAACATGAGTTAGAGAATTCAGATTAAAAATTTCAAAGTCTCTCTGGAGAGTAGAAACCTGGGAGAAAACTAAACTAAACAAAGCACATTCTCCTCATTGACACCAGAGATGTGGTGAATGTTTTGGGATCGCTAGTGAATGTAGGCTTTTTACGCTGTCAGTGTCTATGGACGGGGTAGACTCTAGGATAAGAAAGCCGGAAACCTCTCCAACCTAAGTCCCATAGTCCCGAGTCCCCTTTGAGCAGGAAATTTGCGCCATGACCACAGAACCGGAAAGCGGATGAAAACATTAGGGGACTAGGTCGTAAACTCGAACGCCGGGTAATGACAGTTTCGAGGGGGATTGTGACATAACTGCATTCCACTCCTCCCAACCGACGCCCGAGTCGCCGCTCCGCGGTGGGGGAAGGGAGCGCAGGGCCCGGACCCAGGTCCTTGGAGAGGGAGCCCAGGGTGCCCAGGGAGCCCATGGAGCCCAGGAGGTCCAGTTCTGGGAGGCAGAAAGCGGGGGCCGAGCCTGGAGTGGGGAACCCTGGGATCCAAAGTCACCCGGGAGCTACGAGCGAGGGCGGGGGCTGGGCTACCGGCGGGGTTGGGGGGGCGGGGCCGGTGAGACGACTTTGGGGAGGGGGACGCCAAGGGGCGCTGAGGGACTCGCCCCGTGAGCCTCAGAAGCAGCACAGACTCTGGCCACCGTCCGGCCGTCGAGGGGCCTTGGGCTAAGTCAGGGAGCCGCGACTCGGCACGTTTTACCTTTTTCCTGGCCTCGGCCAATTTTTTCTGTCGGACTTCTTCCGACATCTCGGGAAGGGGAGGGGTGCAGGGGGGCCACATCACCGCGATCCCGGAAACCACCTCGGAATTGCTTCCGGCAGCCACCACGCATCTTTGCGACTAAGCCAGAAAAGGAGGGTCGAGGGCGATTATAGGCAGCAGTTCTGTGGGCGTGGCCTTAATCCTTCAATTCCATTGGTCTATAAGAAAGATGAAAGTGAGAAACGGCGTGGCCACGCTGCTGCGAGCCTGAAGGAACAGGCGGAGCCATCCACAGTGAAAGCTGTCTCCGCCCATCTGGGGGCGGAGCCCGACCTCGCTGGGTGCGCGCGCAGTTTGCTGTGCGACTGACTGCTCCTGGTCTCCATCGCAGGATCCTGGTTATCTGGTGGACCTGAGAGGCCGCTCTCCTGCCCCCACCCTGGACCCTCCAGCACTGCATAGCCCCCCGATACGGGGGCCGCGGACCCCAGGGCTCAGGAGGTGGGCGAGGAGCGAACAGCAAGGGGAAAGTGCATCCCTTCACAGTCCCTTTCCTGACTCCCCATAGCTCTGCCCCAGACTTTCTCGTCCCAGAGTTTACCTCTGGAGACCTCGAGCCGTTCCTCCACAAACTCCATCCTATCGGTGTCTTCCCTTCCTCGAGGGTTTCTACCCTGATCCCGGGAGCATAGGTGCCCCTTCCCGACCGGATCCAGTCCCCGCCGCTCCTACTTCCCAACCCTCCTCCCACAGTTCCCTCCTCTCCGGGATCGGACTCTAGGTCCACTCAGCCTTTTTTCCCTCGGATTCCTCTCCAGGACTCAACCAGGACTTTCCAAAAGTTGCCGCGGGGCCTTCCGATCCCCTGTGAGTATGCCTGTGCACCCCTCCCCACTCTTGCCCTCCCCCCTATGTCGCTGCTGCTCCCCGCCCCCTCTCCGTCCCTTGAGCAGCTGACCCACCCCCAGCCAACCTTATTCTTCTGAAAAACTCTAGGTCATTTCTCAGTCCTTCCCCCTTTTTTGCCTCGTGTCCGCCAAGCTTCCAAGAAGAAGCAGTGGCCTGTCCTTGTCAGTGGCACCCCAAGCGGGCTCTGTCTGTCCTCCTTCCTGTCAGCACCACTGCCCCTCCCCCACCCATCCCACCCACGGAGAGACCACCCTGGTTCCCTCAAACACACGCGCAGTCTCCTGCCTTAGGGCATTTGGGTCTCCTGTCTCCTGTCCGGAATACTTTTCTTTCTGCTTTTTGACCAGCTGATGTCTACATGTCCTTTAGAATGGAGCTTCCTCCGAGAAGCCTCACTTCTGGCTCCGTCCGGTGACCCTGCTAGACACCCCCTTAGCACGCTGTACTTCCACTTCAAAGCACTTTGCAGACTTGTAGTTTGTTGATTACTAACCTGTCATTCACTCATTCATTTGACCAATTTTGTTGAGTGCCTACCTCCTATGTGCCAGGTTCTGTAGTTGACACAGTGTCATCAGCAGTAAACACAACAAAGTACCTGCCCTCGTGGAGTTTACACTCTGGTGGTATAAGCCTCACAATGACAATAATATTGTCAGTGAAAGGTATCACATGTCAGGTGGTGATAGATGTCGTAAAACATCAGGAGAAAGGGGAGGGGAGTGGTCGAGGAGGGACCCTTTAAATGGGGTGGTCAGAGAAGGCCTTTCCGATGAAGTATGACCTGTGAGTAGAGCTTTAAGTGAAGGCCTCTGGAGAGCACCGTTGTCGGTGTTTTATATTTGGGACTGGCTCTCTGTTCGCGAAGGCAAAGAACCAGGCTTGCTGTCTTCTCCACTGCTGAACCCCGGAGCCTTTGCCAGGGCCTGGCAGACAGTGACTGCTCGCTTTTTGATGACTGACTGGTTATACGTCCCATCCAAAGAATAGGAACCACGTCTTCCCTGGTCCTTTCTTGCATCACGTGTAGGCTGTTGATCCAACACACATTTCCTGAAGATAAGCAGTGTGCCAGGGACTGGCCTTTGCAGCTTTTGGGAGCAGAAACGGCAAACATGAACTGTAGCCCAAAGAAAAGACTTTGTTATCCAATGAGATTATAAACACAGTGACATCGCTGACTTAACAATCCATATAGATCTGAGACAGATTCTCTGGGGTCACATTGGGGGCCAGGAGAGGCCTTTTAGTTAGGATTGGGTTTGGTTGGGAGTGAAAGAAAACCCGGAATAACGGTGGCTTAAACAGTTATTGGGGGACCCATGTCTCCATCTTGTTCCGCTACATCTTCAGCATGGCTTCTACCTCATCATCCAAGACACTGTGCAGTCCCCGTTACTTCCATATTCCAGCTGGCAGGAAGGAGGGAGGCCAGAGAAAGGCCTGCCTCTCCCTGGAAGGACACTTCCCAGGCATAGTGTTCAGCATTTCTGATTAAGTTCCACTTGCCAGAACTTAGTTATAGGGCCACATCAAATTCCAAGGGAAGCTGAGAAAGATACCGTAGTTTGCCATGTATAATGTGCTCCCGTGTTTAATGAGCACCCATGTTTTTGGCTCAAACATTCAGGAAAAAAACCTTTTGTTTTAATCTTTTAATTAACATATTTAGGTACTTGTTTTTGTATTATAAAGGAATTTTAGCATTTATTTTTAAGCATTATGGTACAAGAAATTTTATGTAACATAATTACAAAACACAAGAACAGATACAAGGTATCTCATGTACTATCCATGTATAATACACATCCATGTTTTTCCCTCAAAAATTTGGGCAAAAAAAATGTGCATTATACATGGCAAAATACGGGTAGTCTTATTTGGGGTTGGGTGGTGTCTACTTGCACTGCAAAGCAGAAGCAGGGAGCGCCTCTTTGGGGACAACTTGTAGGTCCTGAACTGTGGATAACTGGTCAGTCCAGCTAGTGACTTTTTGTGCCACTCAGCGACCATCTTCCAAGTCTGGCCAGGCTGATGGGGCCAGTGAGGATTCTTCGCACCTTGACATTCAGAAGCTGAAGGAAAAGAGGGACCTGCTGGAGAAGGAGATCTCCCAGTTAATATCTGAGTAAGTCTTGTTGGGTTCCTCAGCATACTTGAGATAATTTGTGCCCAGTAACTGCAACCCAGTCATCCTAGCTCAGCATACACACGGGAAGGCACCGTTGGATTCAGGGTGCCGCAGCAGCCTCCCCCGGGTAGAGCGTGCTCAGGCTTGGGAGCACCAGGAAGTAGGAACCGGAAAGCTTTCAGGAATGGAGGTGATTGCTCTCAGGGGCGCACATTCTCTGCCTTGGCTTCTGCCTGCACCCGGACTCCATTCCTCTCTGGAGGCAGGGTTTTCAGTGCCTGGGGGAAGCTGTTCTTCCACAGCTCCTGGGCTTCCCATGCCCCGTGCTCCAGCCACACAGCACAGGCTGAGCAGCTGTTTGTTTGTTTTTTTAACTTTACTTTTGCAGAAAGGGGAAGGGAAGAAAAAAGAGAGGGAGAGAAACATCAATGTGAGAGAGACACATCAATCAGTTTGCCTCTCACACGCCCCCACGGGGGACCCAGCCCGCAACCTAGGCATGTACCCTGACCGGGAATCAAACCAGCAACCCTTTGGCAGACTGAGCAACTTTTATTTTATTTTAAAGATTTCATTTACTTATTATTAGAGAAAGGGAAAGGAGGGAGAAAGAGAGGAAGAGAAACATCAATGTGTGGTTGCCTCTTGTGCACCCCTTCCTGGGGACGTGGCCCACAACCCAGGCATGTGCCCTGACTGGGAATCGTACTGGCAACTCTTTGGTTTTCAGGCCAGTGCTCAATCCACTGAGCCACGCCAGCCAGGGCAAGACTGAGCAACTTTTAAATGTGCATTTCATATTTGAGGGGATCTGACTGGCCACTCTTGTGCCCATCTGTGAGTCCCTCAGCTGTGGCCAGGGTCACATAGTACCAGTGTGTTTGGAACCCGTGGCTAAGTGTGCGGGGAGCATTTACCAGGGACCAATCCCCTACTACTTTGAGCTTTAATGGACAGGGTCTCTTTTGCCATCTGTCCCCAGTGCTGAGCACCTAGTAGGCCTTAGTGCTGCCTTGTTACTCTCTGAACCTTGGATCCTCATCAGCTCTCTCTCTCTCTCCCTCCACCCCTTACCCCAGAGGCTACAGCGTGGATGAACTGGAGGACCACATCTCCCAGCTCCACGAGTATAATGACATCAAAGACGTGGGCCAGATGCTGCTGGGCAAACTAGGTGAGCAGCGGGGCTCCGGAGGAGCAGGCAGGGCTTAGAAGGCGTCCCTGTTTCCCAGGAGTGGTCGGATTTTGCTCCTGAGCCTTCTAACTTGCCAGCCCCCCTCCCTGCTCAGCTGCCCCGCTCCCCGAATGCCCCTGCCCTTCATGGCACCTAGCAAAGTAGCTGTACAGCTCTTCCCTGAGTCAAGGTTTTTGTTTTTTGTTTTTTTCCCCTTGTGGGTAGAGCCTGCTTTGAGGCTACAGGCAGGTTTGACCCTGGGCTCGCCCACCTGCTGGACCGAAAACTAGGCTCCCAGTCTTCCAGAGCCAATTCAGACTGAGTGAGACATGTCCTTGCCTCAAGGGACTGACTTGCTACAGAAGCAGAAAGTGCAAGGGTGACTCTGTGTGGCTTAAAGGGGTATTTTGTCCCTCCTTGAACCCAGTCTCGCTCTGCAGAGGACTTAGCCAAGGCCCAGCCCCTGTGTGTCTGGGCTGGCTCGGACAGCCCGCCTGGCAGGTGAGGAGTTGTGTCATGGCCCTCAGCTACACCACCTGGCTCGGATTGGTGGACACGGATGGTCAGCGGCCCCTGACCGTTGACGACAGTGTTCAGAGCTAGGACTGTCTGTCCACTTGTGCGTGGGCTTTATCACTTGCTGCAGAACTGTCTGTGAGCGCCCAGGGCTCCCCGGCCAGGAGGGCTCCTCTGTGATCCAGTGAGAAATGGGCCCCAAAGGAGGGAAGGAGGAAACAGGAGGAGGGAAATAGAGGTGGACAAAGAGAGGAGGCTGAGCAGGGCCCCGAAGGAAAGGCATGTGGGGTGTCCATATCCTGGTGGTTGGGGCATGAGCTCTTGTTTGTTAGACCCCAGCCTGAGACCTGTCTTTCCAGGCTGTGGGGCGTGAGTGGGCAGCCTGCCCACCTTCACTTGTTCAGTGAATATTTACTGAGCACCTGCCCTCTGCTGCTCTACAAGGCATGTGGACACTTTGGAGAACCAGACACTTGAAGGGCTCTGTTTTCATGTGACTTCTGTTTCCGTGTTGGGTTGGGGGAGGGAACCTCAAGAACATGAACGAAGGAATTAAAAAAAGTGTCAAGTGCTATGAAGGAATCAAAGAGCAAAGATGGAGAATGTTGAGGGCAGAACAGGGTGGCAGGTAGAGCGGAGGGGAGGTGGCCAGAAGGGGCCTCGGAAAAGAGCCCTCTCCGTGGGCAGAGAGGGAAGCCTTTGAGGGAGCGGGAGTAGTGCCACCAAATGGCCAGGGCATGGCACCTGAGCCAGGTGGAGGAGTCCAGGTTTTCAGCAGGTGCTGGACACCACGTTGATGTGCACGTCTGCCTTCAGCAGGCGAGACTCCAGCCGCTCTGTGTGGAGACAGGATGCGAGGGGAGCTCCGTCTGACTCCTCTGCAAAGCTGGCTGAGGGTTCAGTGAGTCTAGTTTTGGGGGAGCTAGGCAGGAGTCGCAGGAGGGTTACCTTGGCAACTAGGGGAGCAGGAGGAAGGTGAGTGGCCAGGGATTTGGCCCTTCTCCCACTCCTGCCGCTGGACAGTCATCCTTCCTTTCAGCCGTGATCCGAGGAGTCACCACCAAAGAGTTGTATCCAGAGTTCGGCCTGGACATGAGTGACTGAGCAAAGACCCACAGCCCCCTGTCAGCGGCCCGCGGGGGCGGCCGGATGTGGGCAGAGAAGCTGTGAGAGCCCACCCAGCGTACCGCAGACTTTTGAGCCAGACAGGAGCCCTTCTGTACAGAGCCCGCGCTGAGTCAGGAGGAAGGTGTGTGCCCAGCTCCCAGACTCCCAAGATGTCCCAGAGGGACACCTGTGTATGTGTATATGCTCCTATTTGTGAGTAAACATGTGAACAATCTTTTTTTTTTAAATTTTTTAGATTTTATTTATTTTTAGAGAGAAGGAAAGGGAGGGAGAAAGAGAGAGAAACATTGGTATACAAGACATCCATCAGTCCTTTGCCTCTCTCACGCCCCCAGCTGGGGACCTAGCCTGCCACCCAGGCATGTGCCCTGAGTGGGAATTGAACTGGCGACCTTCAGTTCATAGGCCAGCGCTCAATCCACTGAACCACACCAGCCAGAGCGGAACGATCTTGACGTGAATCTGTGCGCTGATTCGCTCCCCTCTGACAGCCCCCATCTCTCCTGGGACAGAGCCTAGCTTTGTTACAACAGCCTTGCATGGGCCAGGGGCTGTGCTAAGTGCTTTACATCCACGATCTCTAATGCTAAGTTCCATCCTATGGGGATTTAGTTTTGCTATCCCCAATTTTCAGATGAGGAAATGGAGGCTCAGAGAAGCAAAGTGACTTGCCCGAGGTCACATAGCCAGTAAGTAGCAGAGCAGGGATCTGAGCCCAAGTCTAACTCTGAAGTTGACGGTTTGCAGCACTGCCTTTCTGGGTTGGGGGACAAACGGGTAAGAGCTGAGAGTAAAAAGAGCAACGTTGGGAGGAATTCTTCCCTTGTAAATCCATCTACAGAGTGCAGTTCTGGTCCCCAGTTGTAACCTCTGCCAAGCAAGGATGAGCTGTCACCTCTTCCCTGGGCGTTGCTCATCATGACCAACCATCGCTGGCGGGCGCGAAACCGGATGGAGCAACTGCTCAGTGCAATCCAGAATGGCAGGGTTCACACCGGACTTGGTTGTTGTGTTTTTCCACTACCATTTAGTGCCCTTGTACCCGCCTCCCACCAGCAGTCACCACACAGCTCTCCATGTCCACGAGTCCTTTGTCCTTTCTGCTCAATCCCTCCCTCACACCAGACTTGCTAAGGATTCTCACTATTCCAGCTGCCCCTCTGGCCCTGTCCTGCTGGACATTCTCATAAAATTGCAGATGTGACAGCAGCCCTTGGGGTCAGGCTGTCATGAGGTAAAGTAAGACTAGTTTCTAAAAACCAGCCGTGAGAGTCCGGCCTGGGTGTGATTGAGTTCCAGCTCTGCCCACTTGTAAGCCGTGCGGCCGTGCGCATCTGCCTTGGCCTCTCTAGGTGGAAATCATACAGCAGCACTGTAGGCATCCGTCAACATCAGCTCCTTCAACAGATGCCCCCAGTTCTCATGGCCGACCTCAGGAAAGGTTTCTTGGTCTCACAAAGTCCAATGAGGCTCTGGTAGCCCTCCGGTTTCGGAGCTTCACCTCTGGAACGCAGAGCAGGAGAAAAGATGGAGAAGACACATCTCCAGCTCACCCTGAACTGACCCCAAATCAGCAGACGTCACTTTTGCTCACAGATAAATGTCCAGAACCAGTCCTGTGGCCCAAACTGACTGAGGGAGGCTGGGAAATGAGAGTGAACCCGCGGGTATTTGATGGGCACCTGTTGCTGTCTCAGCCAAGAGCAGCCACCTCCAGAGGGCGCTGCAAGGGCTTGGTGAACAACAGCACAGGCCCCAGCGCCTGAGGACGGTGTGTCCTGCTGCCTTTGGCGCTGAAGAGCAACCCCTCCTCTGCAGCGCTCTGGTCCTGTTCCAGGCTGCAGTCACGGCCACCTCTGTATGCCCTTCCAGGTTCACCAGGAAAGCCTGCCTGTGTTATTCGGAGGCTTTTCTGGCCATTTCTTTTTCAAAATTTATTTTTTGAGATGGAGACAAACATCAATCTGTTGCCTCTCACACGCCCCCAACCAGGGACCAGGCCCACAACCCAGGCATGTGCCCTGACTGGGAATCGAACTGGTGGACCTTTTCGCTTTGTAGGATTATGCCCAACCAACCCAACCACACCGGTCCCGGGGCTGGCTCTTTCTTAAACTTCCATATCATAATGTCACCAGGTTTTCATAGGTTCTATTGTCCCCATTTGGCAGGTAAGGAAACTGAGGTTCAGAGAGTCAAAGCAACTTGTCAAAGTCACACAGTGGCAGAGCCCAGAGCCGGGACAACAGCCCAGGCACTTCTGGCTCCTGACCTCAGGCTTCTGACGTGGACCCTACACCATGAGGCCTTGCCCTGGACTCTTACCAGACCAAGCAGCCTCTGAGGACAAGACCGTCATCTATCTCGAATGATGCCCATCCCACCGGCCCCTCACGTACTCGGTACTTGCCCCACTGAATGTGGCCCTGATCCTGTCGCCTCCGGGCTTGGGTGAGAGTTAACTAGAGATGGAGCCAGTACCGGAGTGGCCTCCTGAGGTTCTCACATTCCTTAGGCCCCACACAGTTGTTGCCTCTTCTGACCCGCTCTCCTCTCAACTCCCTGGGTCACATCATTTTGTAGTGGAGGAAGAAGAGGAGAGGGAACAGCCAGGCTTGGAGGGAGGAAACCCCAGGAGACGTGAATCCCTTCCTCAGGTTCCCCCGCCTCACCCCGTTTCCTCCCCATAGACAGTGGGCTTGGCTTGCCTCTGTCCTCACAAAAAGCCAGTGCCAGGAGTTGGGGAGCCACAGGCTCTGGGGCCCTGCTCACCTGCCAGCAGGGAGTCAGGGAGCCAAGAAGTGACAATGCAGTTTGATCAAAGGCTGCCATGGGGTTATAGGAACCCATCTGAGTGGCACCTAAGCAACTGGGGATGTTGGGGAAACTCCCTGAAGAAGAGACATCAATGTCGGCACATTAGGAGTCAGCCAGACGAGCACGTGGGACAGTCTTCGAGGAGGGCACGTGGCATTTGCGAAGGCCCAGACGAAGACTGGGTGGCCCAGCATGTGAAGGGGTTCAGTTCCTCATTCTCAGTTGGAAAGTGATCAGGAAAGGAGCACCCCTCATCTATAATTGTACCCCAGCTCTGCGTTTTGGACCAGTCTTCTTAGGGGGAGGGAGGTGGTTTTTATGTTCTACAACTTACGTGTTTGATCATTTAACTCTTTATGATTTAAAAAATCCAATAAAGGTATTAAATCCAATAAAGACATGAAAGGCTGACATGCAGGGGAAAAAATAAAAGGGAGTGGGCCAAAGTAATAGTAATGCTTATGGAAGAGGGTAGGGTTATTGATGGTCTTTTCCTTTCCCATATGTCTATGGAGCACTCGATGCTGTTACACCGTTGGCCATATAGCGGGTGTGGGACCCACGCCTCCACGCCTCCACCACAGCACCTCTCAACCCGCTGAGTTCTCAAGCTAGATGGTTAATCCTGACCTTCCTGTAACTAATGCTTTCTTTTATTTTCTTTATTCCTCCCACCCCCTTTTTGGTATCTAATATCAAAATTTGTGGCAAAATACCTTTCCCTCAACTCTGTACTAGTTACTCTGCTTAATTCTAACCTTGTCCTCAACCCTAATCCCACTAGAAAGCAAGCACACTTGTCGATTGTTCCCTAAGCCCTTCATCTCTTTACAAATCACAGATAACCAAGAGTCCGAAGATGTCATGTGGCTGTGTCCTCTGGGGGTTGCCCTGAGGTGCAACAAATGGCACTCGGGTAGATTCCAGATTCTCAAGTTGAAAACGAATACGCTGCCAGTGCCCCAAAGACCCTTTTCATTTGGGGCCAATTTTACGGCACTAAATGGGATGTTTGGAAGGAAAGCATCATCTGGATCCACTTCCTCGTTGTGCAAGGTCCCCTCTCCCACGTGTCATGGTGGAGGTGACCTCAAGGGGGCAGTGTGTGCTCGGAGATGAGCCACTGCCACGAAGCTACCCGGGGAGGGTCTTGCTGGGAAAGTCCTGGCCTGCCAAACCGCTAGCCACAGACTAGATTCTCCCAGCGCCCCAGAGAGGAGAGACGGTTTTCTCAAAAACCCTCCACCCACCCGGGGCAGTAAGAAGCCAACTGATTGTGAGATGCAATAGTGACGTTTCTCGGGGCCTGCCTGATAGTATCCAGGGTAACTCTGATACTGCAAGTGTGCAATTTGTTTGACCGCATACAGTGTAAACGAGACCTGAAGATATCTATCACCTGGCACATACAGAAATTCAAACCACTAAGGCAATATAGCCCACGTACTCATCCCTGGAAACCGAGAAGGGTTATTTGCGGGTAGCCTGACCTCACCAAGGTAGAGTCACCCGATTACACCCCACTTTTGCTTTGCTCAGAAAAAGAGGACACCTCAGGGACGGAGAGAGAGGAAGGCCAGGCCAGGGACCCAATTCCAAGCAAAGGTTTCCCCGGAGAAGGGTTTGATGGTAGTAATAACAGTTACAAAACTGTGAGCCAGTGTGGCTAGGCGAGGTACTCTCCAGCGTCCCCAGCCCAGTGTCCCCAAACTGAAGCTCAGAGAAGTGGAGCCACTTGCTCAAGGTCACATTTCCAAATTCCTGAGCCTGGCTGCTGGTGCATTGTCCCGCCTCCACAGCAGAGGCTTGTCCTCTAGTCTCTTACCCAAGGTCATGTGTCAATGAAAGGAATCAGAGCTTGAACCCAAAGCTCCCTGAGCCCTTAACCAAATTAAGAACCCTTAATAAACCCAATGTCTTAACCAAAAATCCCTGCTGTGCTTATTACAAGTCGTATCTGCCCAAGGCCCTTGACCTACAGCCAAGCCAATGGCCAGGAATGAACAGCCTCAGCTTTGGCCTTGGGCTTGACCTTGGCTCTTGTCTCCTAATTTCTTCGAATAAGAGGCTTTGCTCTCTTCTCACTGAGTCTCTCATTCCCAACGTCAGGAACTATGAGCAGGAACAGATCCTCTCCTGACCTTTAGCTCCTTCAGTTCCTTGTATTCATCCCAAAATGCCAAAGGATCTCAACTGCAATAGTAGTCCTAGCAGCTGAGCATATGCCCTGTGCCAGGCCCCAAGCCTTGGGCTTGGTGTGACTGTTGCATGTGTTCCTAATGGCAGCCCTGAGAGGGATATCGTTATCCCCATTTTCCAGATGAAGGAAATGAAGTTCAGAGTGGTTAAGTCACTTTCCCAAAGAAACACAGCTGAGTGGCAGACTCAGAGATTGAAGGTTCCAAGGATATACTCTTTATTTATTTAATATTTTATCTGTTTTCAGAGAGGGGTGGGGAGGGAGAAA